CAAAACTATATACCCTGCAGAAATAAATTATCAATTGATTAAGTTAGTTGTAAAGTCGTGCAGGAGTCATGCAGACGTTATCGGGAGCTTGTTTTCTTTACAAGTTTCTATTTAAATATCCTCATACAAAAATTACTTTTAACACACTTTTTTCTGCACTTCGCAGATTCATTTTCGTATTCATGACAAATAAAATAAAGGTCGAAATTGATATTATCATTTTCATGTTATGTCTGATCGAATTCAAATATGAGACCACCTACAAATGAACAAGTAAACAAATAAGCAAATATGTATAAAATAAGTAAATAAATAAAAATATAAGAAATCTAAAAAGTCTTTTTTATTAATAGTTTATGCCCCAAAATAGTTAGCTACAAGTTAGTTGACATCTAATGCAGAGGAAACCAGTTCTCACTATTTTGCGGTCATCGCCCTTCAAAAGTAATTAGTTACGGCCAAAGGAAATAGTTAATAAATAGTTACCACTAGTCGACTACTAGTTAGTTAATAGTTAGCTACAAACTAGTCCCATTTCCTGCAGGGTATTTACATAGTAAATACATATATTAATTTCTTTTATTTCGCTATGCGAACATTTTATTCTTTAACCATCAACGTTTTGTGCATTTCCTTTATTTGCCAACAGTAGCAAAAGTTTTCCACTAATGACGCTAATTAAGATTTCATCGTTTTCAATGAAAAGGATATGGAAATTTAATTTAATAAGTGTCATCACACTGGAAACTTCGATGCTTCGAAATGGGTTACATACTTATATTCATATATAAAAGCTCATACAAATGAAAACATGAATGCATGTATGTACATTAGGGTGCCTCACCAAAAGGAGCGATTTGAAAATAACATAAAAAATCAGATTATTTTGTTTCCGTTGATAAAAGGTTTAAACATTTTTATGCAGAACTCTTATGCTTAAACTTTTCTATAATCGGAGGTGGTTTTTCGAAAACAAAAATATATTCAAATACTAATTTTATTTATAAACAAGTAATTTTTAGGCAAAAAACAAAACCAACTTCAATTCTCATATACAAATTTAAGATTATCGCTAATTTCTTCATGATCCAATGATCGAGTTTAAACCAAATGAATATGGGACCATCTGTGAGGTAACAGATTTCCTTTAAAAAAAGAATTATAGAAATCGCTTAACGTGGTCCAAAGTTATGCGGTAACATACATACATAAAACAAAAGAAAAAATATATATGTTTATTCTCCTTTTTGTGAAGTCGGTTAAAATCTCGATTATTGGAGGTATTTTCAAATCGATATACAGTATCGGTCATATCTATAGCACGCCATTTCAAAGTGATATTGTGTGCCACTTATGTTTATTTATTTATTTTTAAGAATTTTCAATTAAAATACGGTTTTTTATCTAACAGAACCCATATAAACCCAAGTTTAAAAACTTATAGAAAACTACAAAAAAGTGCAACAAATTTTAACCTAAATTTCAAACTTTTTTCTCGGAAGTGTTTGAATTTTTCTGAATACACAGTTTTTTAGCCCAATTAATTTTAGTCTGATAATGTGCAAGTTTCAAGTGGGTAAAAGTTACCGCTGATTTTTTAGAATTTTTTTCGCCAAGGATGTTGCGGTTTTCTTCCATATACAAATAAATTGAGTTTATTCATTATATGGAAGCCAATGCGACAAAAAAATTCTAAAAAATTAACGGTAATTCGTAGCTACTTGAAATTTGCACATTATCAGACTAAAATTGCAGGGGCTAAAAAACTGTGTCCTCAAAAAAATTCTATCACTACCGAGAAAAAATTTGAAATTTAGGTGAAAATTTGTTACACTTTTTTGTAGTTTTCTACAAATTGTTGAACTTGGGTATATATGGGGTTTAACCGAGAATGAACAAAATTTTAATTGAAAATTCTTAAAAATAAATAAATAAACATAAGCGGCACACAATATCACTTTGAAATGGCGTGCTATAGATATGACCGATACTGTATATTTTAAAATTTCTGCAAAAAAATATATTGAATTTGATCGATGGAAAACCAGAGCCGATTTTTATTTGTATGAAGAACGATACACCCTAATGTATGTACTATAAAAATGTGATTGTGCTGCTGCGCAAAGTTAGGAAGTGAGCAAAAACTTTTGACAACAAATGCTGGTGACAACAACAAAAACAACACTGAAACTGCTGATTGGCAGTCGCCGCCGCACTATTAATAGCAAATTAAAAGCAAATTTGTACATGATAGGAGCGTTTGCCCATGGATTTGGAAAATTAAGTAAATGAGTTGACGTACAAATTTACAGTTCAGTAGCTTAGCGGGTTCACATACTTCGGAAAATACTTCGCTGCTTAATGAAATACCCGAAAGTCATTAAAGTCGACACTTGCCCGCACTCGAATTAGGTCAACGGCAAATTTGGCAAACTATTTTGGCAGCTGGAGTAAAGTGGGATGTATGCATGCGGAAGGCAGGCGATGAGCAAAAATTTTTGAAAATAATAAAATATGTAAATGCATGCTGCTGGAAGTGTAATGCAAACAACAGCATGTGCTGGTAGTTTAAAAGCCTTCCAGGAAATTTGAGTGATGTTGAGCTGACGCTGCTGGTGCGGGGACTAAATAAAAGTTATTTTTGAATTTTCACAATTGAAGCATTGGTAGCCTTTCACATTGTTCCCTGAGATTTCTTCTTGCGTTTAAAAATGTTGAAATATTTTGGTTCATACTAGTTGACAAATTGTCCAAATTTGTTGGGATTTTTTTTTTGGTTTTTTCGATACTTCTCGCTTTTGGATTTTTTTTTGGTATTTTTTCGGTGTATTCGGAATTTGTCAAAACTTCTCGAAATTTGTCGAGTTTATTTCGGACCTTCCGAGATTTTTCACAATTTGACTGTTTTTTTTTGTGTATTTCGGGAAGTTATCGGTTTTTTCTTAGTTTTAAATTTTTTGAGCAATGATATTAGGGGTTTGTTATTTTCCGAGGATTTTAAGAGTTGTGCGGGATTTTTCCCTTCATATTTTTTTTAGAAAGAAAAAACTATGATTTTATTCTTTTTTCGAGACTTTTTGAGTATTTTTCACGTCTTTCTAGACCTTCAACCTTTCCCAAACTTTTCGAGTTTTTTTTTATACCTTTCGAAGTTTTCTTAAAATTTATTTTTTGAATTTTTCGAGATTTTTCCGAGTTTTTCTCGATATTTTTTTACACCTTTTCTGATTTTTCTAAATATGTCATGTCTTTGGTACTTTTCAGTATATTTTGTTTTTTTTCTTTTAAAATTTTGGGCATTAATGAAAACAAAATAATTTATAATAATTGAGTGATTTTGGGATTTGCTCCAGATATTTCTTTAACCATTTTCATTTTTCTTTTCTACTTTCTTAAAATTTCTGTTTGCCATTTTTCCAAGTTTTTTCAAAATTCCTCGATATTTTTTTATATCTTTTAGGACTTTATCGATATTTTATGCCTTTTGGAAAATTTCAGTTAATTTTTTTCAGCATTTTAGTCTTTTATAAAGATAAAATAATTCTTTATACTTTGGGTTTTTGAGATTTGATCGAGAATTTTTCTTTTGCAATTTTAATTTTTCTTCGTTATTGACATTTTCGCGTACTTTTTAGAGAGCTTAGTTTTTCTTTAAATTACTTATTGGCATTTTTCTAAGCTTTTTTTTAAACTTTTCTAGAATCTCTGGATTTGTTTTAAATCTTTTCGAATTTTTGCATGTCTTCGGTACTTTTCCATATATGTATGTATTTTTGGTAGTTGCAGTATTTTGGACATTAAAAAAAAAAAATAATTTCTTATATTTTGGCCCTTTGAGATTCGCTTGAGATTTCTGTTATTTTAATTTTTTTTGGCGATTTTTAGAGACTTTTTGAGATCGTTTCCTGGGTTTAAAAATGTTTTCGAAATTTTCTTAGAAGCTTTTTAATTTTCAAAATTTTTCGAAATTTGTTTTCGGGCTTTCGGATTTGTTCGTATTTTATTCCGAAATTTTCATCAGGTTTCTGGACTTTCTGTTCCAAAGGAGCATTTTAATCCCAATTTTACTATTTATTGTTAAAATTTCTTACTAAAATTTTTTTTTTAAATTTTAACTCAACGTTTTTCTTTTCTAGTTGGCTTAATACATGAATTTTCTTCTAAGAAAACTGAACATTTTTTTTTTATAAAATTTGTTTCTTTTCTAGTTGGCTCAATTTTGCCTTTTCGTCTAAGAAAACTAAAAAATTTTCCAAAAATAAACCTTTGAATTTCTGGTCATAATTTTCGGGCTCATTTCTATATGTACTACTTTAGCTGATACCTTTCCTTCTTCTTCTAACATTTATTCTTCTCCTTTAAGGACGCCTAATTTTGATTCGATTGATACTATTCCAGCGAGGTTTTAAGGTACGGGTATGTTCCCTTTATGCTGGTACTTAAAATACTAAATAAGGTACAAATTTAGATACATATGTATGTACATGCACACGTATGTATGTACAAAAGTGTGCGGTTTGCCTGTGCGGTTTTGCCTACGCACACATAGTATGCTTTGACTATAGGTTAAAGCATTCTAGCTCGAAGCCTCCAGCTGGCAGTGCACATATAATAATAATTCAAATTTCGAATTCGCAAATTTTCTCGCACACCCCCATACACACACACACACATGCCGGCGCCAAAACTCTGCAACACAATTATTATTATTATTATGCCATTTTCGAACGTTTAAGCTTTATGCTCAAATTGTTTCCATTTAACAAAAAAAAACTATTCTCACATTGCCACTTGCAGTGTTCGAGTAGCTGCTAGTATTCCTAACTAGTTACGCGCTATTACTGTATATTTGCTGCTGTGCTTGTTTTAAATGTTGTTGTTTGTATTCATGATTTCGAATATGCCGTTTTTGTTGCTGTTTATTTGTTTGAAAGGGTAACAATTTCAACAAATCATCTGTTAATTGCATTTATTTTAAGTGAATGGGTTGATTTACTTACATACATGTTACACATGGCTATGTGGTGGAAATACGTGTATTTATGCGTCCTTTCATCAACACGTATGCATGAAATATGAGTGAAAATAATGTGTTCAGCTGCCAATTAATTAGATAACCGGTATCCTGGAATTAGAGAAAAGTTGAAACTGTTTAGTAGGTATGCATAATTTGTGGTAATTCGCATTAGTGAGTTTTTGTATAATAAATTTAAGATAAATCGTTTTTGCAAAGTATATTTGCGCACTAAATTCGTGCGGGACCAGGGCGTATGAGTAACTTCTCGTAACGGTTCAGTCGTTTATAATGATTTTGTGTCTACATAATCACTTTTATTTAAAAGTGGGTAAGTAGAAGATGCCTCTGCTCATCTCATTGTCGTAATCGATTTAATTTTCGTTTATATTTGGCCTATTTGGTCTACTTAGAGCGCAATGCGGAAAAGCGATTTCGGGCAGAGCATCTTTGATGAAAAATATTTTTAACCCAAAACAATGAATGAGTGCGAAATATTAATATTTCAAATCGTAACTAAATACATACTCTCGCTTTTCCACACGCACCGGCAAAGAAGAAGAACGATAATATTCAATATAAATGCACAAATTATTCTTATTAGTAGATGACTTACGCTAGGCCGAGCATTCTTCACCATGTAGACATTTATAGTATACTACCGTCAAACAGGGCTATCAATAGAAAATCCGGGCACAGTATTAAATATGGACTGGCCCACCCCAAAAAAAAAAAAAATTTCTTTATATATGTTTTTAATCAAATTTATCAACTTAGCAAAATATTTGTATCATCGAACTTAATTTCCGAAAATCCGGAACCCTGAAAACTCCGGGTCCGGGGGAAACAACCGAAACCAAACAATTGCTTAACAATTCATTCTTTAATACCATTTATGACCTCATTCGGGGATTGGCAGAGAACTTAAACTAAAACTAAACTAAAAAGGAAACTTCTTTAAGTCGAGATTTATCGATGACTTTATAAGCCAAAATTATTTGAAAGCATCCCAAGCAACCTTGTGAAATACGGGATTCCAATAATAAAAACTACAATTGATCAGAAAATACGAGTAAATATACAAATATCAATACAAAAGATCAGCGGCTAAAATATCAATTGAAATATCGATACAGATAAAAATAATAACAAACATCGTTCAGAATATCGACAGCGATAAGGATGTCAATAAATATCTGGGACCAAAAATAACCGTTAAATACCAAGATTTTTATTTTTCGGTCAAATATTATCAACAAAATTTCGATTTATTTTTCGGCCGAGTTTAGTAGGTATTTTGTGAGTTTTATATCTAACAAAATTAATAGCGTTTTAATTTTTTTTTTAATTTTTAGCCGTTATAAGGAGACTGTATTTTTATGACCTATCTAATTTAATCAGAAAACAACGGCTAAAATATGTTTGAAAAAATAAAAGCTTAACTTAACTATAAAAAATTTATCGAAAAAAATAAAAATCCAAAAAAACGATTATTCTTGATCGTAAAAATTAATATCGAAAATAACAGTTAACTTGACTTATATTATAGAGAGCACTTCGTTCAAAATATCGATAACAATAACTTGGAAAATTTTGATAACTGGGTATGTACATACATATGTATGTTGATAAATTTATCGGCATTAATAAAATCAATAACAACGATTAAGGTGACGATAATGATATCGAAAGCGACTATGCTAACGACAATTATATACTTAGTAATAAATGTATCAAATAAAATATCGACAACAATAAAAATATGAATGAACGTCGATCAACATTTCGATATCGATACAAATATCAGTAAACCTTTAACCACCTATTGCACGTCTCACAGATCTCTTTGAGTTAATAATCGAATATTTGTTTTTTTTTTCTAATAAACAGTTGAATATGTTCCTTAAAATAAAATAAGTGTTTTGCGCTTACCAGATTCTACATAGCGGTGGGACGCACCTCTAACAACTCAGCCACAGCGACCGGCCTAAACATACTTGTGATTCAAAATTTTTAACAACCGTGATTTATTTCATTCTGGGGTCGCACAGACGTATGACAGGTGGTTTTATGACAAAAATTAGTGGTAGGTAGTTAACGTTAAATATGGATAAAAAAAAAATATCGATAACGATAACTTTACAAATATATGAATAAGCGTAAGGATAAAAACCATAATTAAGATACCGATAACGGTAGAGATATCGAAACCGATTAATGAGAAATATTAAATTCTAACATCGAAACAAGGTTCACCTTACTTTGGAACTGCCAGATATTTAGCGATATGAAAATAAAGTTTTAAAAATATTTTTCTTATTGTAACCCGAATACAAACTGATTCCTTCCATCATTGATTTGCAATTTCATAATAATATCTTATTTTGCTAACAAATATGACAGATTTTAATCAAAACAGCATTAGATAACAGTTATGTATGTATTTCTGCAATCTGGCTTGTATAAATATATTCGTAAGTATTTCATAGAAATCACAATAACCCCATAATCCAGAGGAGACAATGAAAGTACACATTCAAGTTATTACGATGTTATTACGAAGGATTATTAAGCGTACGCAAACAGATAGTACGCTTGAAATGCAGAAAAATGAAAATGAAGAAAACTGGAATAACAAAACGAGTGGTAAAAAATTAAATAAACCGGCACACAAAACACAGATGCGACTCGACGCCAAAGTAGTGGCAGGCGGCAATGCGCAGCAAGCGCAACAAAGCGGCGAAGCGGAAATTGTGTGGCAAACGGCAACAAGCAACGACCCCTAGCGAAGCGCCCCTGCACTGCCTACCAACGCCAACTACTCGTAAGTATAAGGGAAGCTGGAAAAACTTAGCCGGCATAACATCAACCAGTGCGATCTAACAACGAAGGGTGGCGCTAGGAAGTGGGGTAGTATCTATAGGTGATGCTATGAAAATGTTTTTATTTAGTGGAATTTGATAGTTTCGACAAAGTATTTGTATTTATTTGTGTGCATGACAGACTTTTGAGAACTACGGCAAGTATGCGCGCCTACAAGTATGCTTTGATTTTTGTTTCTTTTTTCTTGTTTGTTTATATGTATTTGAAAAGCATTATTTTTGTTGGCTTTAGTCGATGAAATTGTTTCTGTTATCTACGTTTTATTTGATATTATCCGTAGTATGCGCGCAATCTCAAATTATATCTGAACAGTGACATTTTTGTTTTGAAGTCTCTATGTGAGGGTGTATACTTTAATTTACTGAAGTGTGCGTATCGCACACGATCTTCAAAAGTGACACAATTCCAAATTTGGCATTTTTGAAATTATGCGCTAAAAATGTACACAGGGTTTTTATTTACCTTTCAGCAAAAGCTGGAGCAAATTTTTGTTATTATTTTTTGAAAAAGCCTAAGGTAAAATATCCCTCGCCCATATGATTGGCATGTGCTAAGAAATCGTTTTTTTACATTTTCTGACAAAGAGTTGACAATTTTATTGGCTCAGAGCAAATTTTGGTGGGTAAAGAGTGTGCTAAAAGTGAAAAGAAAATTTTTGTTAGCTAAAACGTTTAGCTATACTACCCCAGAGTGAGACTATGAACCTTTACATATTTAAATAACTAAACGAAAATAAATTATATCAACGGAAATAAAACAACCTATATTTCGTAGCTAGTCTTTCTAAGTACTATATGGCCATTCTTTAAAAAAATATGTCTGAATAAAAAAAAACACTTTTTGTTTTATATTAATATCTCAACCCTCTAAAAAATATTTTGAAAATAAAAAATTTGGGATCCCTTTCGTTTAATATCTATGTACACTGTTGTAAACTTTTATTTAACTTAATTATTAATTGATGGTAACTTTTGAAAAAGGTGGCAACTCTCTTTAAAAATAGCGTTTATGTTAATCCAGGTTATAACCAATCTGTGGAAGAGTAACAAACATACTCACTCACAAACTTGCACATTCATAATATTAGTACGATAAATATCTGGCAACCCGTCGATTTCAACAAAAACCCACCCTTATTGAAAATCTCTACATCTTATTCGCTTTCAAAATGCGGTCTACTTCACTCGCTTGTGGTATTCTCTCATTCAACACTCTACCATCCCCATAACCAATGGTCATTTCGTATTTTCCTGACAACTCCATTAAGTCGGGGTAAAAAAATCAAATTTTTCTACTTCTGAAAGCTCAGCAATCAAAGTGACAGCGACATTTTCAATCCATGCACTGAAATCAATGTAAATTGAAAGACCCATCAACGCGCATCATCAAAAAATTACAGAAGAAAAACGGTCTTGAATAAAATAAATATTTTTAACTTTTTCGTCGGTTGCATTGCCAACGTGCCGATGTGCCGAAAAATGCGAAAACTTTTTCAATTTCGGCTGCGTGCCACATGTTGCAACAACAGGCAGATGGAGTAAACATGAAATATTTTTTTGTATACGAAGTGGAAATATGCAACAAAAGAAAAGTGGAGGAAAAATACTTACGTACATATACTATATTAAATAGTAAAGTCAACGAGTTTTACAACTGTTACAATGAAAAGCATAACAACAACAACAAAAATACAAACGACTACAAGCAATATCAAGCAATTTGTATGCAACTGGCAGTTGGCAGCCGTCACCAACATTTCTGATGTGGCTTCTTCGTTTAACGCACGCAGTGCGCCAGTACATAGATATGCCTTTAGTATACATACATACATAGTAGTTGGTATAAGAATTTTAAATTCACTCGCTCAGTACACCGCCCACATGCCACTGGGCAGCCATTCACTGAAAGTGTTGCTCTTGGCGCCGACTTAAACCACTTTGCACTAGCCACAAGTGCACTTGCTAAAATTTATTGCATGCAATTGCCGCACGATGATTGTGCAAAGCATTGCCTTGCGTGGATGATGATGACCGCGCTGCCCGAAGGATGCCTGCAGTATTAGACAGTTGCGAATTAGTAGTAACCGCCTAAAACATGCGCTCGGAAGTAGGCGTGGCACGCAAGCACGATTGCTACAACGTTGCCTTTGTGCAAACTGCAACTGAAATGCATCGTTGTGGTGATTGCACTACAAAATGGGCACACAACCGAATCAC